TTGGCCAGGATGGCCTTGATCTCTTGACCTTGTGATCCGCCTGCCTCGGCCTCCCAAAGTGCTGGGATTACAGATATGAGCCACCGCGCCCAGCCTGCAATAAACATTTATATATCTTATAGCACATACCAGATTTTTAATATTTGACAGGTGTTTAATCAGGACCTAAGGGGTGATTTTTTTTTTAAATAAATCAAGTATATAGAAAAGTAAAAGATAGTCATTTACCTAATGCTCTGAACATCTTTCTTGAGATAAAATAGTACTACGCACTAATAACTAACATTACCAAATTTAATTGAGGCATAATTGGGGGCCTGCCTTTAAACCTAAAGAAATTCCTTTGTATGTGAATATTACAGGCAATTGTGTAATATCAGTATCTATCAGAAAAGACTGTACTGTTTACATAACTCTTTAAATTGTACAGAGGCTATTTTTCCCAAGAACTTCAAATTTATTTGCTGTGCAAGAAAGGGTAGAGTGAGAATAGGTGCCTTCAGGATGCAGACATGCTGTGTCTAGTACTGTTATTTGTTGTCAGATACACAGATAAAAATGTTAATGCCCTTCTTGCATATTGGGTTTGTTCCACGGATGACTCTTTTCCTGGAGTTCTTAGAAATTGTACATAACCAAAGGGGGCTGGAGAGTGAGAGAAAGCAAAAGATTTGGCTAGAAGAAGAGAGAGATACATTCTGGTTTTAAAATTGCCCTGCTCAGTATCTGAAAAACATAAATCCCTGCTGTCAATCTTAATTTTTGATCTTAGTCTTTAGTGTCCATTCCTTTGTCTTTTTTCTTTCCTTCTCCTCAACTTTGCTATAAAAATATTTACACATCTAGAATGGAAAGAATTATTTTTGCCCAAACTATAAAAAGTATATCACAGGCTGGACACAGTGGCTCATGCCTGTAATGGCAGCACTTTGGGAGGCCGATGTGGGTGGATCATTTGAGATCAGGAGTTCAAGACCAGCCTGGCCAACATGGTGAAAACCCATCTCTACTAAAAATACTAAAATTGGCTGGGCGTAGTGGCTCACGCCTGTCATCCCAGCACTGTGGGAGGCCGAGGCGGGCAGATCACCTGAGGTCAGGGGTTCAAGACCAGCCTGACGAATGTGGAGAAACCCCGTCTCTACTAAAAATACAAAATTAGCCAGGTGTGTTGGCGCATGCCTGTAATTGCAGCTACTTGGGAGGCTGAGGCAGGAGAATCACTTGAATCCGGGAGGTGGAGGTTGCCGTGAGCCGAGATTGTGCCATTGCACTCTAGCCTGGGTACCAAGAGAAAAACTCTGCCTCAAACAAACAAACAAAACACAAAAAAATCGCATACACACAAAAATTAGCCGGGCATTGTGGCAAGCGCCTGTAATCTCAGCTACTTGGGATGGTGAGGCAGGAGAATCGCTTGAACCTGGGATGTGGAGGTTGCAGTGAGCAGAGACTGCCACTGCATTCCAGCTTGGATGACAGAGTAAGACTGTCTCGAAAAACAAAAAAAGTATATCACAAATATTTAATATTATTACATATTTTTCCTTAGTACATAATCATGCATCCCCAAAAGTGGCATTTTGCTACATAGCCTCAATATAGTTTTCAGCTCAGTTTTGTCCTCTTAAAACAAGAATGCTGGTACTGTCTTCACTCATGAAAGGCTTGTGGCTAAGAAGGTCTGAGACATAACAGATGCTTCTCCATGTTGCTTTCCCATCTTTCTCTTAAAAGTTAGGTTTTTTTTTTTTGTCCTTTTTATCTTTTCATATTGTTTTTCTCTTCTCCATAATTCTGCCTTCTGCCCTCTTATTAGGATGTCTGCTCTCTGTGCCAAATAGGCCTTAAATTCCTTCATCGTGGTTCCCCTCAGGAGAGACTAATGGAAGACACTTAAGTACTAGGTCTGCTCAGAGGAGATCACAGCCTGCCCCTCATGGGACCATTTGGTAATGTCTTTCTCCGTCATTGCCTGTGGTCACGCCTGTGGACTTAGAGGTTGAGAAAGATCTTCTGTCCCAAGGGAACCCACATTTATGTTCTGACTGGGTCTCTGTGAAGATTTTAAAAACATTTCTTTTTTCTGAAACGATACAGCTGTACCCATGTAAGCAAACATGGAAGACTGTTCATTATTTTCTCCTTTTTAATCTATTCTCATGTTTACATTCACTGTATAATCTTGTTTTGGCTAATCTTTGACATACTTTACGTACTATGTAGATTGAATAATTTTCCTGGTGATACTGTACTCTGACATCATGAAGGGATGGCTCATTTTAGAGTGGATGCTTTCAAATACTATCAGTGAGAAGATTTTAGTATTTTATAGCCTTCAAGCAAGCTTATTTGGGAGTCCACAACATTCCCCTTATGTGTTAAATGAATGAATGATTATTTTACACAACTCACACCAAAATTTTTTAGCTACCCATGCTTCTAGAAGCTTTTAAAGAATCAAAAAGTAGCTATATTAAAATGGGTAAAAATAGGAAGAAGCTTAGAAATAACTTTTAGGAAATGTATTACCTTTAAGCATAGAACTAAAGAGAAGAGGGAGGTGGCAAAACAACAACAACAACAACAACAACAACAACAACAGAAGACTTAAGTCTAATCAGTATGGGGATTGGAAGCCTGTACAGTAGTGAGTGGTGCTTTACAATATTACCAATTAATGTCTTTTGTATTCTCTTTTTCTGTGTCCTCATTGTATTTTCCTCTGTCTTTTGATTTACCTGCAAAAATACAGGCACATTTGTAAATCTGTGTTAGGGTTTCCTGTAGCATGATCATATGTCACCAGTGAGCGCGCTGACTCTGAATTAAAACATGAGCTTAATATGCGGAAAACTGAAACTGGACCCCTTCCTTACACCTTATACAAAAATTAACTTAAGATGGGTTAAAGACTTAAATGTAAAATGCAAAACCATAAAAACCCTGGAAGAAACCTAGGCAATACCATTCAGGACATAGGCACGGGCAAAGACTTCATGACAAAAATGCCAAAAGCAGTGGCAACAAAAGCCAAAATTGACAAATGGGATCTAATTAAACTAAAGAGCTTCTGCACCACAAAAGAAGCTATCATCAGATTGAACAGGCAACCTATGGAATGGGAGAAAATTTTTGTAATCTACCCATCTGACAAAGGTGTAATAGCCAGAATTTACAAGGAACTTAAACAAATTTATAAGAAAAAAACAACCCCATCAAAAAGTTGGCAAAGGATATGAAGACACATTTCTCAAAGAAGACATTTATGTGGCCAACAAACATATTTTAAGAAGTTCAGCATCACTGATCACTACAGAAATGCAAATCAAAACTACAATTACATAGCATCTTATGCCAGTCAGAATGATGATTATTAAAAAATCAAGAAACAATAGACGCGAGGCTGTGGAGAAATAGGAACGCTTTTACACTGTTGGTGGGAATGTAAATCACTTCAACCGCTGTGGAAGACAGTATGAGGATTCCTCAAGGATCAACTACCATTTGACCCAGCAATCTTGTTACTGGGTATATACCCAAAGGAATATATATCATTCTACCCTAAAGACACATGCACGGATATGTTTATTACAGTACCATTTACAATAACAAAGTCAACACAAATGGAACCAACCCAAATGCTCATTAGTGATAGACTGGATAAAGAAAATGTGGCACATATATGCCATGGGATACTATGCAGCTTTAAAAAGGAGTGAGATTATGTCATTTGCAGGGACATGGATGAAGCCAGAGGCCATCATTCTCAGCAAACTAGCACAGGAACAGAAAAGCAAACACAACATGTTATCACTCATAAGTTAGAGTTGAACATTGGAACACATGGACACAGGAGAACAACACACATGAGGGCCTATTGGGGAGGAGGTGAGGGGAGGGAACTTAGAGGATGGGTCAGTATGTATAGCAAACTACCATGGCACATGTATTCCTGTGTAACAAACTTGCACATTCTGCATATTTATCCTGGAACTTTAAGCAAAATTAAAAAAAAAAAAGAAAACATGGGTTTAAGTAGCACACAAGATCTGTTTCTCCTTTGAAAAACCCATTAAGTTTGGATAAATTCTAAGAGGAAGCATTTTAACTAGCATCCTGAGCACTTCCTCACATTCTTCTAGTGTGCAAGTTAGCATGATGTATGTGTATTTATATATTTTAAACTCCATAAATTTTTTTATTGAAACCAAAAACAAACAAGAAGCCTTCTATGAACAGGCTTCTTCCGGTGTGAAGAAAGCTAATAAGAGTGTGGCCTCCATGCTTACAATAGTCAAACATCCAGATAATATATAAAATGACAACTTTTATTGGTCTCATCAGAGAATTTCAGTCATGGAACAACTAACTAGCCTGAAACCTAAGGAAAGGGTATGAGTCTCCAAGTAGATAGGACAAGACGTTTACTTAACTGGGGTAAATGCTGATGCTGATGTCATAAAAGCTAGTAAGAAAAAAACTCGATTACATTTTAAGTCCTAAAAGCTGAATGTATATAGGCATGGAAACTGCAGCTGCAAGGAGAATTCAGTCACATGCAAGCAGTTCTCCACATACCTCACCTTGTGCTCATGGAGAAGACTAGGGGCAAGGCAAGTGATGGAAGAATGCCATTCTTATGGGGCAGGCCGTTAGGGAGGTAAGCAGCAACCACTGCAAGGAAGGCATGAAGCCCTCTGGATCCTTCTTCCCTAATCCCATCTCTATTATGGAACAAAAACCTTAAAATCCTGGGGGTGGGCAGCACTCTAGGCTCAGGGGACAGGTGAAAACCTAGTTCAGCTAGGGCAAAGGAACAGGAAAATTGCTGTACATTTGGAGGAGGGTCAAAGAAGTATCGTCCACTGGGACTACTAGAGATCTCCTGACACTGTGGGAGGAGGTAGATTCTCCCACACTTGGAATGTCCAGCCCCTATACCCAGGCAAACAGCTCCTGCCTAAGACTGAAGTTGAACCAGAACAAAGAATACTTCTCTAGCTTTTTTCATCCCCGGCTGTGTAAGGATAGGCCGCCATCATGAACGACACAGTAACTATCCGCACTAGAAAGTTCATGACCAACCGACTACTTCAGAGGAAACAAATGGTCATTGATGTCCTTCACCCCGGGAAGGCAACAGTGCCTAAGACAGAAATTCGGGAAAAACTAGCCAAAATGTACAAGACCACACCGGATGTCATCTTTGTATTTGGATTCAGAACTCATTTTGGTGGTGGCAAGACAACTGGCTTTGGCATGATTTATGATTCCCTGGATTATGCAAAGAAAAATGAACCCAAACACAGACTTGCAAGACATGGCCTGTATGAGAAGAAAAAGACCTCAAGAAAGCAACGAAAGGAACGCAAGAACAGAATGAAGAAAGTCAGGGGGACTGCAAAGGCCAATGTTGGTGCTGGCAAAAAGCCGAAGGAGTAAAGGTGCTGCAATGATGTTGTCTATGGCCGTTGTGGATTTTTCACGAGAAGCTTAATAAACTAAAAACTTTCATGTGAAAAAAAAAAAAAAAAAAAGAATACTTTCTCTACACACACACCAGTCTGCTAAGCTCAGAGTAACAAATACTGACAATTTACTGCTAGGGGAGTGGGGAGAACATGGACAGAGACCCTCCTCCCTAAGGTACAGGCACAAAGGGAAGACCTAAAGCGGAGGGTGAAGCAGATACTGAGAAAAACACTGTGGCAAACCACCCCACCTGAAGAACAAGGTAATGCTAAAGAGACATGAAACCTGTGATGTGCAGAGGGTAGGAAGCCTAAATTCAGCTCTCAACTCTTGACTAAATTAAATCAACTCCCCACACTTAAGACTAGCAACATGAGAGACATGTTCATTTCCAGGCATAAATACTATATACCTCAGTCTCTACAGTTCTGCACGAGATGGCTGGCTTTTAACCAAAAATTACTGAGATGCACAAAAAGTCAGATAAAATGGCACACATAAAAGAAACAAAGCAATCCGTAGAACCAGACTCAGATATGATCCAGATGTTAGAACTCTCAGGTAAATTTAAATAACTAAGATCAATATATTAAAGATTCTAGTGGGAAAAGTAGGTAATGTATGTGCATGTACAGATGACAAATTTCAGTAGAAAAGTTGAAATTACAAAAAAGAATAACATGAAAATGCTAGAAATGAAAAACTTAGAGATGGAAGATGCTTTTGATGCCTTATTGGTAGAATTGATGCAGTCGAAGAAGTAATCAGTATATTTGAAGATTGGTCAGAAGAGATTTATGGGAAATCTGAAACACAAAGAGAAACGAGGATGTGACAAAAAACCCAAAAATATGAGCCCCTAATAGCTTTAGTACAATACCAGAAGTTCTAATGTATATGTAATTAGATTCCCAGAATGAGAAGAGAGTGACTAGTATGGTAAAAAATAGTACAATACAAAAAATATTTGAAGAGATAATAGTACAAAATTTTCCAGAACTAATGACACATACCAGATAACAAATCCAAGACGCTCAATAAGCAGAATGAATACCCACCTCACACACACAGTCAGACATATCATATTCACACTGATAAAAAAATTTTAAAGGCACCAGATGAGAAAACGCATTATATAAAGAACAAAGATGAGACAAAGCAGACTTCTCATCAAAGTCAGGCAAGGTTGTAGTGCTGACAGAATAAACTGTCAACCCAGAATCCTATGTTCTGCAGAATATTCTTCAAAATGAAAAAAAGCAAACATAAGTGACCTTATTACTCTTCATTACACTGCCAACATTTAAATATCAATGGAAATGAAGATAAGGTTCTGGTCTCAACCACATTGATCTGAACTGAGAACTGCGGTAAATCAGCTATGTATCTCAATTTATGAATTTGTCTTTGATGTTTGAGTTTTGTTTAATACTAGTAAATGGTGTAGCTTTGATGGCTCTTAAAGGTAATGTATTTGGTACCTGTATCAGCCAAGATTTTCTAGAGAAACAGAACCAGTAGGATGGACAGGTGTGTATGTGTATGTCTAAGGGTACATGTATATTTATGAATGGATGGATATTAAGAGATTTATTTTAAGGAGTTGGCTCCTGTGATCTTGGGAACTGACAAGTACGAAAGTCATAGTACATGTTTCTGTGAAGGCCCCTCAGGCAGGAGTTGATGCTACAGTCTTGAGGCTGAGTTTCTTCTTCTTCAGGGAAAATATTAACGCTTGCGTTTGAGGCCTTTCAGTTGACTGGATGAGGTCCCCCCCCACATTATTGACAATAATCTCCTTGAAGTTGCTGAATGTAGATTTTAAGCATATCTACAAAATACCTTCACAAACAATACCTAGTTTGTGATTAATTGAGTAACTGGATACCATTGCCTAGCCAGGTTGACACGTAAAACTAACCATCACAGGACCCATTATTAGAATTGTGACAAGATGGACAATGAAATCTTTGCAAAACAATGGATTATTTGTATTTTTAGCATGGTGATAAGAATGATCCCGGATTGAAGCTGCACATTACATAAGCTGGTAATAGTAAGAATTGAAGTTGTAAAACTGCATTAAAACATTCTAAGCCTTTAAGTATGCTCTCTCACATATTAAGTGTATGCTTTGGGGTTTTTTTTTTTTTTTTTAATAATCATTTCATCATCTAGAACCATTTAAATTTATTTTGAGTTTTTTCAGTCCATTTCACTTAAGCAGTTATCTTTTCATTGAAATTATCTGATTAACAGAATTGGTACAAGGTATTGAAAGTTTACAGTTCCCTATGATGACTTCATCTGCAAGTAAATAGTATTATTTTGGGATTTTGTGAGAACATGAGAGCCTAAAAGTCATTGCAGTACAATATTGCTGCAGATATTGGAGGAGGAGTAAGCAAAATGGTGACACTGAGACTTTTTTGACTTTGCCTGTAACGGGGTACATAGGTTAGAAAACAAAACTTTTTAAGTGCAGCAAAAAAATTTAAATTGTAAACACAACTGCAGACATACAGAGTAATTGAGTTAAAAAGTATGTTCTTCATAGTAGAGTCCTGAATTTCTAACGATAAAAATCAGAATGTTAAAAACAAACTATAGCATATATATAGTTAAATGGAAAATCATGTCCCTACAGAAAATAATGATTTTTCTCTGTCCTGGTGATAAAGAAAGTTTAAATCGAGGATTTACCTTTGCCATCTGAAAATATTAGTTTGCTGACTTTAAAAATTGTACTTGTTAAACCCGAGACAAACAATGACGTGACTCTCAAGGAAGTATGAAAAAAGCGTCTCAAAGACCACTTATTATTTGGGGCAAATAATTTAGGAAGTAATTTCCATATTTGAGACTGTGGCAAGGATTGCTGCCTACAGCCAGTTCTGTTATGTAACAAAATGCATTTAAGAGATGCTTGACAGTATGTTTCTGTAATGCTCTAGCATTTAAAAGGCAAGGATGAAGATTGTGTTGCATAGTTCAGTATGGTAGCTGTTTTTCTAGTGCATGAGTTAGCTTTCTGCTCCCTGCATTCACCTAAGTTCATCTGTTCCAGTCTCTGTCTACTTATAAAGTTAAAATAGCTCTGAACTTGTTTTGAATTTGTCATGCTACTTAGTTGCATATCAAGTGGTACCAAGATTATCTGGTTCTAACCACTGAGTTCAGTTTTATGGGAGATTCAACATCATAATGTGGCAGGCTTTTTGGCCAAATTTTTCAACCAATAGAATTGCCTTGTGGAGAGCAATTTTCTGTCTATGTATTATTTTCTGTAGCTTGCTTTGCTCAACAGTGGGAGAAAAGCAGTTTGGGTTGGAAATTGGGTGAAAGGAGAATGTTAGATATAAGAGAAGTAACATAATCTTTTACAGGTGAAACCCTGGACATTATTTATAAGCAGGTGAAGACAAAGGAAAATAAGATCCAATGTGAAAAAATAAAAGAGATCATGAGCACACCTAGTGCTCAGCTCTGGTTTGCAATGCCATTCTCCAGTATTGGAGAACCAGGGCACCTTGGAGAAATGGCTGATTCTAGTACTGGGACAGGAACCATGCAAGATGAGCCTGGAGCATTTTGTAGTGTGAGAAAGGAAGGGGTGCCAAAGAATAAAAACCCTGGAGAACATATTGATGGGAGTATGTCAAAGGGACACAGAAGCCAACTCAAAGACCTCCTAATGGCCAAAGAGAGAAAAATTTGAACAGAAAACTAAATAACATAGTATTGGATCACAACCTGACATATCAGACATCTATGAGTTCATACGGATGGAAGTAAATGATGGGATAAATTAATCAATAGGAGAAAAGACACATATTTCCTGTGCAGAGGAATTCCAAACTATGTACTCTGTCTTAGCATACTGGCCTACTTTTTTAAGTGTGAGATGCTCATAGAGATTTTGAATCGAAGCATACAGGATGGAGAGTGGGTGCAATGGGAGATCACTTTACAGTGGAGAAACCCACACACACTACCCCAGCCAGGTGATCCAGGTCCACATCATCAACAGTGATAAATCGTGTTGATAGTGTGTTCCCTTAACATCATATGATGAAAATGCCACTTCACCTCTGTGGTCTTCCTCAAACACCACCTGTAGTCTCATCATGAGAAAGAAACACCAAGAAAACCCCAAATAGAGGGTCATCCTATAATATACCTGATCAGTACTCCTCAAAACTTTCAGGGTTACCAAAAACAAAGAAAAGTTTGAGGAACTGTTAAACCAAGAGGAGCCTAATGAGATATGAAAACTAAATACTTGACCATGAGATCCTGTAACAGAAAAAAAGGCCACTAGGAGGTCAGGCGCAGTGGCTCACACCTGTAATCCCAGTACTTTGGGAGGCCAAGATGAACAGATCACAAGGTCAGGAGATTGAGACCATCCTGGCCAACATGGTGAAACCCCATCTCTACTAAAAATACAAAAATTAGCTAAGTGTGGTGGCGCATGCCTGTAATACCAGCTCCTCAGGAGGCTGAGGCAGGAGAATTGCTTGAACTGGGGAGTTGGAGATTTGCAGTGAGCAAAGATCATACCATTGCAGCCTGGTGACAGAGCAAGACTCCATCAAAAAAAAGCCCACTAGGTAAGAAAGAAGCAAATCTGAATAAACCGTGTGCTTTAGTTCATAATAATGTATCAATATTGACTCATTGATTGTAACAAATATGCCATACTAATGTACAGTGCTAATTAGAGAGGACATATATATTTTAAAGCCCAGTGCACATGACCCATCCTTTTGAGTGTCCTCCCCATGGCCTGCAAGGCCCTTCATCTTTCTTTAATTGCATGTCTTAGCTCCTCCTGCTTAGCACTGCCTCAGCTATTCTGGCCTGGTTGCTGTCCCTTGAACATGCAAGTTTGTTGTTCCTGCCGTTCATTTGCCATTTGTTCTGCCTGAATCTTCATGTGTATTGTTCATTTCATTTAGGCCTTTGGGCAAATACCACCTAGTTATTATACTGCTTATAATAGTATCTCCTGCAGTCTATAAACACAAAACCTATGTT